GGCGCTTATCGCCTTCTAGCCTGAAATGTTTGTGTACATGGATTGTACATCAAAACTCACCGACAGTTCCGAGCCCACCAACCCAATGTTCTGGATCCATTGAGAAAATGCATATGAATTCTTGACGGTATTTGAGAGTCTGTCATTTACTTTCTTGAGCTTTAAGCAAATGAATTTCGCTAGTTTGTGTATTTCTCCATGCTTGTAGTTGACTATTAGTCTTAGCGGATTTCATTCCTTGTGTATCTTCGGTAGTCCGTAGGCTATAGGTAGTCTTGCGTCATTTTTGATTAAAGATTTCATCCTTTATCTGTCAATTTCCCCATTATTATGCATTTCCTTAAGCATATTCCTCAGTGTCCCGCTAATCTTTGTGGTTGGATCCTTCCTTAATATTTGATAAGTGTTCCGGTCACCAAGGCCACTTTACATTTTATCCTTGTATTGTTTCTTGTCCATTACAACCGTCGCTCCTCCCTTATCTGCGTGAAGAACTATTTGATCATTAATTTGTAATTTTTCTGAATACCAGCCAATCTGCTCCATTTTATCGGTTCTTGATGTGTCAGGATCCGTGGGATTATTTCCAGTTCCATCTCCCGCCCTCTATCTTCTGGATAATTATCCGTTATGTTGGCAACTTCCACAAGGATATCATTAAGAACATTTTGTTTATTACCTGTTGAAAAATGTAAGCTCTTCATTAAGAGATTCTTAATTTTTAGAATCAGGAGGGTTTGAAGATAGGTTTACAACCTTTGTCCTATCGTCGACTGTAGCCGTTGATGCCTTCAATAGAGGACCATCACAATTTACCCGGGTTTGCTTGATCTTGTATTGTCTTATTATCCCATAGCTATGCAATTTCTTGTCATGACGCTTAATTATCAGATCCCGGACCCTCTGTGACTTCTGGTCGGTCATGCTCTAGATTTTTTGAAAATCATCCAAAGCGAGAACCCTACCTAAATCCTTCCTTATTCTAGACTTGAGATCTATGAACTTAAATAGCTTACGCCTCTCGGCCTCATAATTTTCCTCTGATTTCTAAATAGAAGCGTGATAAAGAATTTCATATACTGTGTACGAATGATACTTCCTCATTAGATTGCAGAATGGACGAGCGATACCATATGTTTTCAAAAAATCAAAAAGGCCATATGGCAGAATTGACTTACAATTTTCATCTTTAGCCGGCTGTAATTAGTGGTTTGTTTGGCAATCTTACTTCCCTAGGAGTGGGTTGACCTAGTTGTCGCAACTTGGTCTTGTTGTCAGGGGGACTTATTAGAACGAACCTAGTCCGAAGTCGTCTGCCATAGTAGATGTCATGATTCCCAGTATCAGACAGTGGACTTGATACATTCTCAAACGTTTCGCCAGCGTCTTATTCGGCATCATCAGTGAGTTTTACCATTCGCCGCACCAAGCTACGAACTCGTCAAAGAGACAAGTTAAGCAAATGCTTCGACAAACGTTCTGCCGAAAACGGTTACACTATCTCTATCCTGGCCCATCTAACTACTCTATACCCTCTTATCCCATTGCATCCTTATTACATCTTCTCATTTGTATACATTCCACTCGTCAATATGTGTGCTCTTCTGTGGCAAATCTAGTGTGGCCCCATCACACTTGCTATCTACCCCGACCCCTCTCTTTCTATCGGCTTATCCGACTCGAGCCTCCAATCTGGATCCCTTCATTGTTTGTGAATCAGTTCCTTATCTTTATAGTTGATCGATTTCACTCGGTTCCAGTCCCAGTGCGCATTCCACTCCAGGCGCTATTTCTGAAGGTCCTAGAAACACGTACACTGCCGCTTCACTGAGTAGAGCGCCTAAGCTCCGATTTCCATGCTTGCAGATATCAGGCCTTCCTTTCACAGGAAGCGGCAGTGTACGTTCTTCTTGGGCCTTGAGAAATAGCGCCTTTTGTGGAATGCACACTGGGACTGAAACCGAGTGAAATCGGTCAACCAGAAAGATAGGCAACGGATCCATTAGACAATGAAGGGATCCGGATTGGAGGCCCGAGTTGGATAAGCCGATAGAAAGAGAGGGGTCGGGGTAGATAGCAAATGAAATGGGGCCACACTAGATTTGCCACAGAAGAGCACACATTTTGACGAGTGGAATGTATACAAATGATAAGATGTAATAAGGATGCAGTGGGATAAGAGGGTAAAGAGTAGATAGATAGGCCAGAACAAAAAGAGGAGTGATAGTGTAGCCGTTTTCGGCAGAATGTTTGCCGAAGTATTGGCTTTACTTGTCTCTTTGACGAGTTCGTAGTTTGGTGCAAGAAATAGCAAAACTCACTGATGATGCCGACTACGGTGCCGGCGAAACGTTTGAAAATGTACCAAGTCCATTGTCTGATGCTGGGAATTATGACAACTAATATGGAAGACGACTTCGGACTAAGTGCGTTTTACTAAGTCTCTCTAACAACAAACCCAAGTTGCGAAAACTAGGTTAACCCACTTCTATAAATCGAAAGTGGACTGCGACCTTACCAGAAAAAACAACATCTTGGACTTCATATCTTACTTCCATAGTTTAAACGAAGGTATGAAGACCAAGATGGTGTGGCCTATTGTGTGTTCGCAGTCTCCTTACGTTATATAGAAGTAGTTTGACCTTGTTTTCGCAACTTTGTAATATTGGTAGGAAGACTTAGAGGAAAGCATCTTGTCCGGAGTCCATTGTATGCATAATCATTTTGAAAGTCGGACCATGGACGTAGTACATTCCCAGACGTTTCGCCTGCATCGTAGTCCGCATCGTTAGTGAGTCTCGCCATTCGTAGCACCATAATACAACTCGTCAAAGAGACAAGTATAGCCGATCCTTTGACCAAACGTGTTCTAAACAGTTATGGTATCTCCACTTCTGCCCTGGCGTATTCGCATTTCCTATATCCTCATATCACGCATTCACTGTAACAATTTTTTACTTGCTTAATTAAATGTGGTACGGTGTGCCCTTTTTGAGTGGCTTTCATGAGAACCCTCCGCATTCCACGCTGGTCTTCTCACTCCCCTTCATCCTTGTGCTGGGAATGTTGATAAGAGTCGGCCATATTGTTACGCAGTCCTCCTTCCCTAGGTCTTAGCACAGTCTATCTCTTGCCCCGTAATATCCGTCTGCCCTCTCCCTAGTTCACATATCTCATTCGACTCCTTAAACTCCATCTATGCCACTCTAAGAGGTATTCACCCTCCCCTGCGTTTGGGTGACTAATTAGAGGCTAAAGCCTCTAAGTAAGTCTCATGGTCACGCCTTTGTCACATGGGTCACGTCTCTTATAAAACTTACTGGCAGCACACTAGCTTCCATCGCCGGCGCGTCTATCTTTTTTCTATCTCTAATACCAAGTCTATGACTTCCCATGCCCTAGTCTCTTGTGTGCCAACTCACAAACGTTGTGGTTCAAC